TGGACAGAAAGCATTAGATTCTACATAGCACATGTACCGCTGCGCGGCACATTTGGTAAGTTGATCTTGATTGCAAACTTTTACACACATGTAAATCCATATTAATAACTCATTAGCTCGCGCACTCGTGCCGGAAAAGGGCCTTAGTGAGCTAGTTTGTTGGAACGCCCTTGGCCAAATAGGAAAACAGGGGAACCGGTCCTCTTGTTTGTATCCCGACAGATGAATTCCCAAAGAAAGAAGCAAGAGGACATGGAGGAGAAAAAAAAAAAAAAGACTCACATACTAGCTATCTAGGCATGCAAAGCCGGTTAACGATCGTCAGCAGATATGCATGTCAAAGAGCAGGAGAGAGTTGCGCAGAACTTCGGGAGTAGCGATAGTTCTGTGCGTCCTATTCGACGTGTAGATCCCCACGCACCTGTATTTTATTACAAACTCTCATTCACAGGTGATAAAGCAGATATCCGAGTGAAGGGATAGGAGGGGGCGAGAATGTGCGTGCGTTATTACCTCAGTGGATGCTTGGAGCGTTGATGACTCATCAACGGTCGTAAATTTGGATAGAATATAACCCATGACGTTAGTGCGGTCGGAGTCGGACAGGTGTGGTCGGAATGCATGGAAGGTGGGGGCTTGAGGCGAATTCGTGGACTCAACGAACGGCTTGAGAAGGGAAAGAAAGGAAGGACTGACGGGGTGAAGTCCGCCCTTGATTCCCCATTCGTTTTAGTAAACGGGCTAGAAAGTAGACACTCCGTGTGTAACCTTCCTTTTAGATGACTCAGTCGTCCACCTTATCTTTTTCCTCCCCTTCCAAGGCATGACCACCCTAGCTTTATCTGTCAGCGGCGGAGCTTTCATTGCGTTCTCAAGGACTGTGAATCCGCCGATTGCACCGACTCCGCGTGAAGAGCAAAATATGGACTTATCGCACGCATAAAATCTCATTTTTTTTCTCATCGCATGCTTGGCTTTGTAATTGGGAGTGGAGTAGATGGTAGATGAAGTCCGCCCTTGACTGCAGCTAGGCCTGGCCCAGTCCTTTCTTCTTTCAAGGGTCAAAGTTCCACAACGCTCGAGAATTCCTTCGTTCTTCCCCCTACCCACTGCCCTCCAGTCATATGAGATCAGTCTGCATTCGGCTTGATAAGTTCTCGTCTTATGGGCCACAGAAGCCAATCTTGCAACACTCATCAACAGTCCATTGTAGTATTAAGGGCTGGAGAGGAAGTATATGTAATTCGATCTGTCGGAGAGCTGGTGATCTCAGAACTTTGCCCCGAGCTCAAACACGTCATCGACCAGGAATTCAAACGAAAGAGTAAGAAAGGGGCAAATAGGAAGAAGTGATTCTCCATCCGTGTGCAAAGGTGTGACTTAATTTGCACATCCGCCAGTTGACGCAAGTCTGAGAATATTTTATCCACGAGTAGCATATGGCACTTGTCGAATACCAGATGGCCCCGAAGGAATGATGGAAGAAGAAAAATGCTGAAGGATAAATAGGAGTTGCGTAAAGTATGGCATAGGGCGTTTGTCCTTCGGAGATTAGGGTCACGGGCTTCCGCCGTGGACAGACTTTTTCTTTCCTCTCTCTTCATCAAGACACCCCTCACGTCTCGATTCCTATAGGCTCTGTGCCAAACTAGGACAAGAGCGTAACCGATGTGTGCAAACACACGTTACTGCATACTCGGCCCTTTCTCGACCTACTCCATACGAGTACTGTGCCCCGTTCACACAGAGTTGACATGTCTTACACTTGCATATGAACCAGGGGCCTGGGCCGTTCCTGCAACATTCATTCCATTGCTCCTCCGTCGTCGGTTTCTTCGTCTTCCATTCTTCATCGGCAAAGGCAACATCCTCGATCCCATTTACTTCATAATACAGCCATAAGCACAGCGCGGATGGGGAAGAAAAAGGGAAGTGAGGGGGGAGTGGGACCTCGATGTACCACCTCTTGCCCCTCTGACGCTATGCCGATGAATGCAACTCACAAAATCACTTCGTGTTACACTGTGACAAGACAGTCCAAATTATGCAATACTATTTCCCCAAAAGATCTCATCGCTTCCTATTTATTTTAAATGCAATCGCAGGGAGTAGTACTTTTTTTTCCCTCTGAAAGTGTTTTATGTCGCATGATTAGGGAAATGAGACTTATGCGGAGGAAAGTTACAATAATTTATTTTATTAGTTGGGTTCAAATTTCTAAATAAAAAAATACAAATATATCGCGGACATAGCCCATGCATTTGATGTAGTTTGAAGTGTCTTTCATGTTTATTTCACAATTTTCCCCACAACTTCACTTTCGGATGCAGTTTGTTTCACATGAAAAGGCAGGATGCAGAGAACCTATATTTAAAAAAAGACTGAAAACCAGTGGCTAGTATTTTTTTTTTTGCAGATCAGGTCATCTTGCTTTCTAAATTTCGAAGGGAATTTTTTTCCCCTTAGGTTGAAAAGTGCAATGCAGTAATCAATATCAGCAAATTGACAGGACTGCTAATTGAGGTGCTTGATCTATAGAATATGAATTGGTGAATAAACCTTGTCTTGTTTTCTTTACAGATTCTAAGCAAGTATGACCCAGATCTAGCTGCAGAAGTATTGGAATGGATCAGGGCTGTGACTGGGGAGAATATCAATGTTTCTGGAGACCCAGACAACTTTTTTGAACTCCTTAGGAATGGGACTCTACTTTGCAGGTTTGTTATGTGTGCCACTTTCTGAGCTGTAGAGATATTCATTCTTTTTATCCTCAAAAAAAAACCTGCACCCATCCTTGTGAACCCATCTTATTTTATAATTGTAGTAAAATGATGCTGCTTGATTAAGCAACATCTCATTTTTTGTGAAATTTGTTGATCCAGCTTATATTCATAATACAGCATCTGTAATGAAGCACTTGACAGAAATGAGCCACACCTCTTTTAAAAGTAGAACTCAGTTTGCTTGGAATTTTTTTTCTAGAATTACTGAAGTAGTACCCACAAGCTGTTAAATAGCTGATAATTTTTCTGCAATATTTTCCAAATTCCATGTATGGGGCATATGTGTTTACAGTGTCCTTTGAGGTGGGGGACTTGATTATTTAAATTGTGATTTTTTCCCCATTAGGTTGGCCAACACAATGAAACCAGGCACAGTGAAGAAGATCAATACCAGCCAGATGGCATTCAAGTGCATGGAAAACATCAATGAATTCCTTGAATCAGCTCGTCAGATGGGAGTCCCAAGCCAGGAACTTTTCCAGACCGTGGACCTGTGGGAGAAGC